CTATTGTGAAAGTGTACTTAGGCTGACTGACAAAGGCAGCGTTATCATTTCATATGGGCAGCGTTATCATTTCATATGGGTTGTAGTACATCGTTCTCGTCTTATATATGTCTACATAACAGCATACACAAATGGGTGGGCGTGTGGGAAATTAGAACTACAATTTTGAAAATGAAAACGTGGGTGGGGACGAATGTCCCCACGTCCCTCTTTTGTAGGCAAAAGAGGGTGAGTAGCGCTTCGGCGCTACCTTTGCTGTGTTGGCCACGTACCCCTTTTCACAATACAAAATTTTAGAAAGTGTTACATTTCATTACACTTTCAAAAATTATCATATTGTGAAAGTGTACTTAGGCTGACTGGCAAAGGCAGCGTTATCTTTTCATATGGGTCTTCTGAGGCAAGTGCAGTCGGGGCTGCCGGTGGCGTTCGATTGATAGCTGATGCGTAGCGGGCGAGGGAGCCGTCGAAGGATCCTGCAATTGCGTAGAGAGGGAGATGAGCTGATCCTGCGCGATTGTAACGTACATCTCCTTCGCGCTGTCGCTGCGCCATCGGCCCATGCGTTTGAAGAGCCGGTCAGGAACTCCGAGGCTCGCCGCTGCAGTGGCTGCGCCTTTGCGGAATGAGTGGGTTCCGATGTGCGCGACATCCAGTCCAGCTTGCCTGCCGGCTGCGAGGCACGAGTTTCTGATCGTAACGTAGGATGGCGATTTGTCGTTCGGTGTGGCTTGTGAGTTCTTTGGGAAAACCCTTATCAGCGGTCCATGGGGCACCTTTGTGAGGCGTCCCTCGACACAGGGGACACAGGCAGGGCCAGGGCCCTGAGGAAGGGGAGGGAGGGACCTGGGGAGACCAGAGACAAGGAGACGGGAGGCCATGCCTCTGAGCCGAAGCAGAGAGGGGTGACCAAGGCGGTGGTGCCAGAGGAGAGTCTCGTGAGACAGGCGACAACACGAACAGGGGGCAGACTCAGGACCAGACGTGGACGCTGCAGCAAACACCTGACCTGAGGAAGGGACCCTACCAGACTCAGAAACTGGAGGAGAAGGAGTGGTCAGTGTGTACAGGCTCGACCCTGGCTGATGTGTAAACGTAGCCAGGTGACGACCTGTGCTAGCCTCTGTGCAGTGCGTCACTCGCCTACGAGCAGGGGTGAACTGGTGGACTCCCGCATCCTGTAGGTCAGCACCACTCACCAAGTTCGTAGAGAACGAGGGGAGGTAGAGACCTGACAGGGTGCCAGAGGGAGCCGCCGGACACGGAAGGACTGTGGAGAAGCGAGACAGGACAGGACCCCCAGAGGGGTCAGCCAGGGACACCGCAACCGGCCGACTAAGCGGCGTGAGTGTGGTGCGGTCCCGAAAGAAGGAGCGAGACGCCCCAGAGTCAAGGGTGAAGGTGTGGGAGGCAGAGGCCGACGCAATACCTGAGAGTGCAGACTCACTAGTACCTGAGAGAGCAGCCTCACCAATACCTGAGAGCACAGACGCACTGGCACCTAGAGCAGCAGCCTCAATGCCCGGGTCGGGCGGGAAACACCGGTAACAGTCACCCTCATCACTAACGGTCACAGCATACATAGCAGCAAGGATAGCATCAAAGTCAAGATCAAAAATAGCTTCACAAGCCCTAGACAACTCTCCCCAGCGGGGGATCTCCGCGGCTTCCGGGAACTGCTGGCGCAAAGCGTCCGTCAGGCGGCCAAAGCAGCGCTGGGCGGAGTGGGTACCCCCACACTGCTCTCCAGCGCGGTCGCCAGTGCGAAGAACGTAGGTGCAAGGACCAAAACTCCCACCCCGCTGACGCTGCGTGTACCACTCACGGAGCTGCTGAGGGGTGGGGACGTCGCGAGAACGCTGCTGCTGCTGCTGCTGCTGCTGGCGCTGACCACCTCCAGTGCGGCTCCGCTGCGAAGCGCCACTCCGACCACCTCCACCACCGCCACTCCCGCCTCCTCCTCCACCGCCACCGCCTCCGCCACCTCCGCTCCCACCGCCACCGCCGCCGCCACCTCCGCCTCCACTGCCGCCACTAGCACCCCCACCCGCGCCACCACCTCCACCGCCACCCCCACTCCCTCCGCCGACTCCACCTCCACCTCCACCGCCCCCGCTGGTCCCACCCGCTCCCTTGCCCCCCTTGCCCTTGCCAGAGCGGCGTCTCCCGCTAGGGGCAGACGCCGCACCGACCGACTCAAGACCAACGAGGTCGGCCGCAGCGGCAGAGGCTTCAGAGGGCAAGAGAGGGGAAGGAGAACACCCCTCAAAGATGGGGGTGCGAGGGTCACCACGAGAGGCTCCTACAGCGACTATGCTCTTCTCCGCCGCTAGGAGGGCCTTCTCGAGGCTGTCGACTGTGAGAGTGGTGGGACAGACCGCGAGGAAGTGGTCCCGGACTACACGAAGGGAGTCAGGGAGACGAGTGACTAGAAAGTAGAGAGTGATGTACATGGGAGGAGGGTTCTTGGCGCAGAAGTCAGCAGGAAGCGCAGCGCGGTAGCGGGTGTCACTAGTGCGGAAGTGCGTAATGAGATCAGCGACAGTGGGAAAGGCGGCAAGGCCAGGGAAGAGGAAGGGGAGCATGAGGCGGCTCAGTGCAGCAGTGGCAGGGGAGGAGTAGCGCGCAACTACAGCGTCGTACAAGGTCTGGGCACTCTTGTACTGACTAAAGTGTGCACGCTCAGCGGTAGGCAGGTGGCGACGCACAGCAAGACGTGCAGCAGCATCGCGTGTGGCCCACTTGGAGCGAACAGTGGGGTCAGCATCAGCAGCAGGGGCAGGGACGGCGCCAGAGGTAAGGTCAAAGAGAGAAAGGTCGTCTACCCTATCGCACTGCAAGAACAGCTGCAGGTCGTCGACCCAGACCTCAAAGTCAATGGCGCGGCCCTCAGCGTCAAAAGCAAGGACACTGGGGGTAGCCATGACAGCAGGCGACGGTCTCACCAGACAGGACGGGTCGGGCAGCTCAGTAGCACAGCAACACGGCAACACAGCAGCTCGGTCGGCCCAGCAGCAACAGCAGCTCCGCGGGACCAGCGGCTCGGCTCCTCAGGCGACTCGGGCGGCTCGGGCGGCGCAGGCGGCTCGGGCGGCTCGGGCGGCGCGGGCGGCTCGGGCGACTCGGGCGGCTCGGGCGGCTCGGGCGGCTCGGGCACTCAGCGGCACAGGCGGCTCGTGCGGCTCGGGTGACGCGGGTGGCACGGGCGGTTGGGTGTCACAGCGGCGTACGGGCAGCGTGGGGCCGGGACGGCGGCGTGCGGCAGGGACAGGTGACGCACGGGCGGTGCGGGGCCAGGACGGCGGCGCACGGCTGGGACGGGTGGCGCACGGGTGGCATGCCTTTGCTTTCCGGTTCACCGTCTCGAGGGGGAAGGCGGCCTCCGCGGGCGAAGCCGGTACGTGCACGCTTGAGGGCCGCCACGTCGGCTACCGCGAGCTTGTAAGAGCGGGATGTGAGCACGCTCTTGGCTTGGTACAGCTGGAACCGATCCGCCGCTTCGAAACCGGCCTCATCCGCCACCAAGAGCACCTCGAAGCGTTTGTTGATCAACGTGTCGATTTGCTCCACGTTGGAGAGCGCGCCCTCGACGTCGCCGTTTTGGAGCTTGAACTCGACGTGCCTCAGGTGAGCTTGAATTGCAGCGAACACCTCCGCCTGGTCACGCACTCCCTTGCGCATGAAGGTAGTAGCTGCGGGTGAAGGGTTGAGGGGGGGAAGGGGAGGTGCGGGTGCGAGAATGCGACGACGGGCAAGGTTGTCGGGGGCCTCACCGTCTTCATTTTCTGAGTCGTCGCTGTCGTCGGGGATACGGGCTTGGGTTGGTGCCGGAGCTGGGGCGGGAGCAGGAGCAGCATTGTTGGTGCGAGCGATTTTGGTGGAGCGGGGAGCCGCGACAGGTTCCTTCTGCTTTTCGATTTTAGCTGACGTAGAAATTTCTTCAGCTGATGTAGCTGCAGTCGACGGTGCGTGCTGCTGCAATAACGAGAGCAGCGCCTGTAGTTGCTGCGCGGTCAAAGGGGTGGGGGCGGCGTTGACCGGGGTGACGTCAGCGGAGGGTGCCGCGCGCTGGCGTTTCTGGGTCGTGGGCCCGGATGGACCCGCGTCAGCGCCGGTCAAGACGACCGCCGCGTCAGCGGCGGTCGTCGTCTTCTGCGCAGCACGCGCGTGCCTGCCAGGCACGCGCTCTTCAGCAGCAGCCACGCGCGACTGTACAACAGTCGCGCGTTCCTCAGGGGGGGTCCGAAGGGCGCCTCCGAGCAGGAGGTCGACTGCCGAGGGTCCCTCGCTTGAAATTTCCTCGGCGGGACGTTTTCCGCCGCGACGATCCGTTGTCACGGCCGGAGTCGAGGTTTCCGCCGTGTTACCGGGGCTAGAATTATTCGAATTGTCGCGGTTAAGTGCCGGGTTGACCGGAGCCATCGTTGCGAGGTTGCGCTTAAGGATGTCGTTAAGGAGCGTTGACGGGGCAGTGAAACACGGAAGCGACTGAGTCTTCGCCAGTGTGGACGAGAACGAAATTAGAACTACAATTTTGAAAATGAAAACGTGGGTGGGGACGAATGTCCCTACGTCCCTCTTTTGTAGGCAAAAGAGGGTGAGTAGCGCTTCGGCGCTACCTTTGCTGTGTTGGCCACGTACCCCTTTTCACAATACAAAATTTTAGAAAGTGTTACATTTCATTACACTTTCAAAAATTATCATATTTACTCAAGGCTAAAGCTACATCAATATTACGGTAAGAGGGACTTTTTCAAAAACGAGTTTCCAGCACAAACACGTTTATAATGCAACATGAACACACTTGTCTAGGTAAGTTTCTCAGCTCAGCTGACAAACATATGCGCGAGTGTCAAGCTGACTCACGTGCTACTGCCATTTTTCTGTGTATCCTACCCACTGCTTCCCACCCACCTACAACAAGCAGGACCCCTGATAGCAAACCAACTACTTCCTTCCTATCACAATATTTTCATGGAAAAATATGGCGTCGCGACACTTCACAATGTGGTGTAGCTACGGGCGTCTCTAATGGGCGGAGGCGCAGCCCTCATGCCGGAAAACGAAACGACCGACCGCTTGATTACCTTGAGCTCTGGCATCCCCGCGCCCCTGTCACCGTCCCCATTGCCCTTGATGCTGTTGCTGTGAAGCCACGAAAACGGCGAGTCGGAGACAAACGTTGAGGGAGTGGTGGTGGAGGTTGATGCTGCAGTGGGGCTGGTGGGCTGGCTTGCTGCTTCTTTGAGCTCTTCTACTACCGTCTGGCACTTGTGCTGATACCACCAGTCCTCCTCCACTAGCCTGCAGGAAGGGAGGGAGGGAGCAGAGGGGGAGAAGGGGAAGAGGGAAGATTGGGAGAAGAGACGTGGACATGTCAGGTGCATTATCAGCTTGAGTTCTATCAGCACTGTCTGGAACCCGAGCTTGTAGCACCACATCCCTCTTTCTCTCACCACATTCAACAACTGCGCACCTGCTCTCACAATCTTAGAAACACCATCTGTGCATCAGCTGTAAGCACGCATGGCCGCATCCACTGAATGGTCGCAGTAGTGGAGGAAAAACGCCACTTCCCTTCCTGCCAGCCCACCGCATTCAACCACTCTCGACCCTTGTGCGTGCACTGTAGGCCACAATCGCCCCGTTGCCGCTTTTTCTGCAAAGCCCTCATCCCTAGCAAAGAAACACAACTCCTCACTCCCCAGTGGAGAAAAAACGCCACTTCCCTTCCTGCCAGCCCACCGCATTCAACCACTCTCGAACCTTGTGCGTGCACTGTAGGCCACAATCGCCCCGTTGCCACTTTTTCTGCAAAGCCCTCATCCCTAGAAAAGAAACACAACTCCTCACTCCCCCAGTCAGCCCACCACATTCAGCCGCTCTCAACTCTTCCTCACCTTTTGGGGTCCTCCCCTGTGCGTGCACTGTAAGCCACAATCGCCCGTGTGGCGGCATCTTCTGCCAACCCCCGGATGAGCGGAGAGGAGGTCTTGCCGCTGTGCGCTGCTTGCACCACGAAATACATGTCAAACACGAGCTGGAAGGGAGTAGGGGTGCGGGGGGGTTGAAACAGAGGAACTGGTCTTGCTGCTGTGAGCAGCTTGCACCACGAAATACATGTCAAACACGAGCTGGGGGAGGGAGGAGGAGCGGAGGAGAAGGGGAAGGGAGGGAGGAGGGGGGAGGGTAAACAATACGGGAAAAAGTGGTGACTTAAAACTGGTCTTGCAGCTTTGAGCTGCTTGCACCACAAAGTACATGTCAAACACGAGCTGCTTGCACCACAAAGTACATGTCAAACACGAGCTGCTTGCACCACAAAGTACATGTCAAACACGAGCCGCGCAGGGAAGGAAGGGGAGTAAAGGACGGGGGGGAGGCAGAGAGGAGGGAGGGGAATGGGAAATGAGCGGAAACAGCCCCACGAATGATCTTTCCAGTGTGAGCAGCTTGCACCCACAGCAAACTGCATGTCAAAAACGAGCTGGGAAAGCAGGGGGAAGAGAGGAAGGGTATACCTGGTCCAGACAGAACCAGGTTTGAGCCATACCTGGTGCAGGCCATACCTGGTGCAGGCCAATGGGCCCAAGGGGTGGGTCAGCGGCCTGAATGTCTTCCCACATTGTACTCTCTATAAGCAGACCCGATAGCAGCCACTCCATGACTCGTCTCAGCAGCCTCCTGTGCATGCCTTCCTGCCCCCTCAGCACCCGCTCTAGGCTTGATTGCACGGCATTCACTGTGAGGAATAAAGCCTGGAATGGGGTGTGGGGGGGGGGGATATGGGAGAGAATGAGAGAGGATGGGTGCAGGAGAGGAGGGGGAAGAGAGATGAGCGGCCTTAGTGCATGGCCTCCTGTGACCACCCTAGGCTTGATGCCACGCCCATTTCATTGTGAGGAATAGCTCCTGGAAGGGGGGGTGGAGGACAAAGGCAAGAGAAAGGGAGAGACAGAGACGAGGGAGTGCAGGTGGGTTGGAGGAAAATGAGATGAGAAGCCTCCTGTGATGTGAATGGCTTGTGTTTAGGAATTCTCAAAAGTGCCCACTTAGAAACCTTTCTCGGCTTCATGTCATGGGCTTACTGTGAGGAATAGCGCTTGGAGTGGCAGGAACGATGATGGAAAAAAGCAGGAGCAGGGAGGAAAGGTGAGCAGTTGGGGTGGGTGATCTCCTTGGACACACACAAAGCATAGGGATACCACATAGACACTCACTCACGCACACACCCACCCCCTCCCCCCCACACAAACACACACATTCTCACCTGGAAGGGCGGCGATGGCAGGGGGTGCATCATCCACTGCTGCAGCTTGGTGCATGCATCCATGCCCACGTACTCGTCTGCACACAGCACGCGCTCCCCACTCTCGCTGAACACAAACCCGCCCCACAGCGACGCACAGAAGATCTCCCGAATTCGCCGCGAGGCTCTCTGAATGCGCGCCCTCCACACCTTGTGCTTCGCCCCGTTGCTGCGCGCACATGGGGGGACGAGGGAGGGTGGGCGAATGTATGTGCGACAAGGAGGGGTGGAGCCTGTTTGACACAGGGGTTGAGGGAATGAGAGAGGAGTCAGAAAAAAAACTGGAAATGAAGAGCACCCAGCAAGGCATGGGAAAGAAAAGCACGTATGACTATGGCTGGTGCCATGCTCACTCTATCCAACCCACCCCATGCCACACCACCCCACGTGTCACCCCAGCCCATGTCACCATCCCACATCACCCCGTCCCATCATGCACATACAACTGCTGCCTCTCATGCCACGTGGATCGTGCCTTGCTCCTCCTCCCGCCTGTCTGCTGCCCCTCCCCCTTCCCCGCGCCCCCACCCTTCCCCTCCTCCTCACTCCCCCCCTCCCCTTCCCCCCCCCCTGCTCCCACGCCTTCCACCTCCCCCCCACCCTCCCCCTTCCCCTCCCCTTCATCTCCCTCCCCACCCCTCCCACCCTCCTCACCCTCCTCCTCCTCCTCCTCATCCTCCCCCAAATACCCCAGCCCTTCCTCATCCTCTATATCCGCTATAGTCAGCCTCACTGCAAGCCTGGGAAGCAGCTCATCGGCCAGAGCAGCTACATTCCCCAGCACAGCCAGCTGCTGCGCCTCTGTCTCTGCCTCCTGAACATGGTACACGTGCCAGCTGTTTGCTGGAGGGTCCAGCAGCGGGTTACTGTGGTCGATTGTGTCAACATCTTGATCACCAGCAGCAAGAGCAGCAGCAGTACCTAAAGCGCCAGCAGCGGCTGCAGCAGCAGCAGCGTTAGCACTGTCACCATTTGACAGTCTCTGCTGACTGTTGTTCCGTGATATGGACACCTCTTCCCACTCCTCCTCCTCCCCCTCTGCCTGTCCCTTCCCCTCCCCTGCATCCCTTCCTCTCTGCCCTCTCTCCTCCGTTGTGTCCCCTCCCTCTTCCCCTCCCATCACATCTCCTTCCATCCTATCTGACACAGTCACACCCTCCACACTCCCACTCACCCCTCCCTTGTGCCCTCTTACTCCCCCTCCTTTCCACCCCTCGTCCCCTCCCCCCTCCACCAACTGCTGCGCCCTTTCTCGCCTCCGTCTCTGTGCCCGAGCACCAACAGAACCAGGTGCCGGGGGCAGGGTGGCGTCAGGTGGAATCTCAGGTAGCGCCAGCTCCATGAGGCTAGCGAAACACTCGAACTGCGTTGCGATGGCATCAAGAACCTTATCCAATAAATGGAGGCTGATTACAGGGAGTATATCCTCGACCAGGTCCTGGGGGGAGGGAGATAGAGAGACGGGTGTAAAACAGGGGAAAGGGGAAAAGGGAGAAAAAAAAATATTTTACTCGCTGTCTGCCTCAACCTGAGCCCGCCCAGTCCCAACACTCACCAGGTGATTCTCACCCCCATGTGCCCCCAAGCAACCAGGCACCCCACTGTCAGAAGACCTGCACAGGGGATGGCCGATTGATACTAGAAAAGGGTTACAGGCTCGCTGACCTGGGGGGGTTATGGGAGCACTGGCCTGCTACTTAACAAGTCATTTTATCCCAGTGGTATAGCGGCTGGGATTATGATATGGTATCAAAGCAACGGTCTCGGGTTAGAATCCCATTTGCACACGTTGGCGGTGCCGTGTCCTAGGGCATCCCTGTGAAGCGGGTGTCAGAAAACCTGCACTGGGGATGCCCGATTGATCTTAGGGAAAGGCTTGCTTGGCTGGGAGGTTATAAGCGCACTGACCCGCTACTTAACAATCTGTTTGATCCCAGTGGTTTAGTGACTGGGATTCTGACACGTACCACCATCATTAGCACAAACCAAACAACCACGAACAGCAGCACTCACCACGAGTAGCAGGTAGAACCGCTGAGCACTCGGCGTCAGCCTAATCCTCAACCCGCCTAGCCCCAGCACGCCGCCCCACCCCCTCAATCTCATCAGCGCCGGAGCACCCAAGTCAACCGCTTCCAACCGCCACTCATCGGTTGTTGCGACCGACACCACCGCATCCTCGATCCTCAGAATGTTAAACTCTAGCGCATCCATCACACTGGGCCGCATGAGCTCGCCTAGCATGGGCGCCAGGCAGATCCCCTGAGGTTCGAGTAAGCGCGCGTGGCCGAGGGAGATGCAGACACACTCGGAGGCGGCGTGGAGGCCGCCAGGGGAGGCGGCAGAGCAGAGGATGTTGCGGCGGAGGAGGGAGAAGGCGAAGGTGACCTCGCGACGTGCCCACAGGAGGAGATCCGCGGAGCAGGCTGGTTGGTCGGCGAAGATTATGGCTGAGTCGGCTGTGGCCTGGGCTATGGCGGAAAAGACAATCTGGGGAGAGAGGGAGGGAAGTGGGGGGACAAGGGGAGTGCGTGAGTGGGAGTGACCGAGGGAGATGCAGACACACTCGGAGGCAGCATGCAGGTCGCCTGGGGCAGCGGCGGAGCAGAGAATGTTGCGGCGGAGGAGGGAGAAGGCGAAGGCTCGACACGTCCAAAGGAGGAGATCCGCGCAGCAGGCTGGTTGGTCCGCAAAGATTATGGCTGAGTCGGCTGTTGCCTGGGCTATGGCTGAAAAGGCAATCTGGCAGGGGAGAATTGGGCGTGATACGGGGAGAGCGAGAGGGGCAGGAGGTTGGGGGAAGGGAGGTGAAATGGAAAACTATTACACACAGCCGCACACACACACCTGGGAAGGCGAAGAAGCAGTGTGTGACTTGCCAGCCCCAGCATCCCTCCTTTCACCTTGCACCCGAACTTGCTTCATTTCCACACCCACTCTCCCCGCCCCCTCATTTACAACCACACACACACACCCCATCTCCTCCCCTTTTTCCTCTCCTACTTCCTTCCCGCTCCCCCCGCCAACCACGCACATGTGACAGAGCAGCAGTGTACGACCCGCCAAACACAGTAGCAGACTGATGCAGCGACCACGCACTCCTCGTAATCCACTCCCCATACGCGCCCAGCAGCAACTGATGAGCAGTTCCAGCTCCCCCAGCCGCATCAACCCATGCATCACCCCCAGCATCGCCCCCTGCTTGCTTCATTCCCACCCCCCTTCCCCCCTGCCCCCCCCCCTCCCCAACCCCTCCCCACCCCATTCCACCTCCCCGCACACCCAAACACGCACCTGAGACAGAGCAGCAGTGTACGACCCGCCAAACCCAGTGGCGGAGCGATGCAGCGACCGGGCACTCCGCCGTATCCTCTCCCCATACGCGCCCAGCAGCAGCTGATGCGCTAACTCCAGCTCCCCCAGCCGCATCAACCCGGTAACCGCAAACCGCAGCTCCTCCCCCAGCACGTCCGAGTGCTTTGCTGTGCGCTCCAGCTCAGCAACCAGCACCACGTGGCGCTCTGCTATTGCTGCTGACAGCGCCAGCGCGGCCGGCTCGCTTAGAAGCTCGGTCGCTGGAGCGCCGCCGGCCGGAGGTTCGGTTTCAGGGATAATATTGCCGCCCGGAACGAGTGCACTGCCGCCCGGAACGACAGTGCTGTTAGAATTTTTATTATCACCACCCGTGGCTGTGGCTTCAGCCGTGCCCTGGGTGTCCCCTTTCTGGTGCTCTCCTCCTTGGCTGGATAATTTCTGAGGGGGGTTTCCACCCTTTACACTCTGCTGTTGATTGTTAGAAATGATCCTCTTATTCAAGACTTCAGCCCTTTCTTTCCTCCCCTCTGTTCCTTCCCCTTCCCTTCCCTCTGCTGCCGCCTCAACAGCTCTAGCAGCAGCAGCAGCTGCAGACGCTTTTGCAGCGTTCCGCCTCCTGCCCTGAAAGCTACCCCCCTGCCGTGAGCTCTCCTCCACATCCCCATTCCCTAACCTCTCGCCCGCCAACCCTGCATTCCCCACGTTCTCCTCCACACTCCTCGCTCGAGGCCTCGTTTTCAAGCCTCCTTTCAAGCCCTCTTTCAAGCCCTCTTTCAAGCCCTCTTTCAGGCTCTCTTTCAAGCTCTCTTTCAAGCTGCCTCTCAAGCCCCCTCCTCCTATGGGCGCACCATCCACGCTGGTCCCCTTCCCCATACCCTCATACACATACCCCCACTCCTCTCTACGCGTTCCCCCGGTAAGAGACCTCTTTGTGAGAGGCGTCTCATCCCAACCCTGCTCTGACCCTGCTCTTCTTTGCTCGCCATGCTCCCCCTCCCCCTCCTCCTCCTCCTTTTCCTCCTCCTCTCCCGCCTCAGCCTCCTCCTCTTCCCCTTCCCCTCCCCCGTCCTCCTCTCTCAACCACCTTTCCACCCGCCCTTCTTCCCTCTCCTCCCCACCACCCTTTCCATCCCACACCTTTCCTCTCTCCCCACCCTCCTCCCCTCCCTCCCCTTCTCCACCACCCTCTCCCGCTTCCCCTTCAGCAAACTCCCCCTCCTCGTTCCTCCTCCGCTCATGTGACTGTAACGAGAGCTGCGCCATTTGCTGCCCCTGCTCCAGCAACTCAATCGCCTGATCAATTTTCTGCTCCGTTATAAGCCCATCCAGTACATCCGGTAACGCCTCCGCATACCGCTCCATCTCCGTCGGCTCCCTCTCCTCCTCATCCCACCCCTCCTCCATCCCATCCTCCTCCTCTTCCTCCTCCTCCCACCCCTCCCCATCCCTCCCCCTCGTCCTTCTCCTTCTCAGCCTCACCTCCCCTCCCCCCTCTCCATCCTTCACCATAACCCCACTCCCGATGCTCCCAACAGCCCACACCTGACCACTCTCCTTCGCCCCGGCCCCATGCCAACCCGCATGCGGGGTTACAGGGGGAGAGGAATGCACAGAATGGTCCGGCGTATGGCTAGAGTCGGACCCATCATCGTGAATCCCCCCGCCTTCAGACCTGCGTCTGCTGTGGTGCGGCGAGGAGTGGGCGAAGAGCGAGAGTGCGATGGTGCGGCTCTGGCAGCTGCCCTTCTCCGCGAGGGAGTGGATGAGCGCGGTGTTGAGCGTCAGCATCTCGCGCATGCGCTTCAGCTGCACCTGAAAGGCGGATATTTGCTTCGACGTGCTGGGAGGGGGAGAGAGAGGGAGTGGTGGGGGAAGGAAGGAAAGAACGGGGACAGGTGGAGAGGGAGTGGATGAGCGCGGTGTTGAGCGTCAGCATCTCGCGCATGCGCTTCAGCTGCACCTGAAAGGCCGAGATCTGCTTGGAGGCGCTGGTGGAAGGAGGGAGGGGGAAGGGGGTAGGAGAGGGAGGGGAAGGGTGGAGATGGAGAGTGGAGGAGGGGTAGGAGGGGGGAGTGAGGAGGGGGAATGGGGGATGGGGGAGATGGTAACGGGAGAGGGTGGGGGGGGGGGGAGGGAGAGAGGGGTGAGGGGAGGGGGATGGGAATTGGGGAAGGAGCGGAGGGAAGTTGACAATAGAAGGCAGCACAGAGGGATGTGAAGTTCTGCATCCGCTTCACCTGCACCTGAGAGCGGAAGGAGCGTTGGGAGCGTTGCCACGTTGGAGTGCAGTGGGTGAGTGACTGACCGTATGAAGGCGGGGTAGTTGGCATACACGCTCCTCCGCATCTCCTCTGCTGACACTCGCCTGAACTCCATCAGCTCCTGTGCCAGCCGCCGCACCTCCTGTGGGCGGCGGGGGAGGGGGGGAGGAAGGAGATGAGGGGAGCAAGAGAAACGAGCGAGCAAGGGGGAGCAAGGGGAATGAGGGGCAAGGGGAACAGTGGGCTAGAAACAAGAAGAGTGCGGAGAGACAGCTTTTGAGGCGCCTCGAGAGTCGTCTCATGACTCGCCTGAACTCCATCAGCTCCTGTGATAGCCGCCTCACCTCCTGTGTAAGGGCCCAGGGGGCGAGGGAAATGAGTGAGGGGAGCAAGGGGAACAATGGCGAGTGAGGAGGGACAGCATCTGAGGCGCCTCAAGAAGAGCCGTCCCGTCTCATGTCTCGCCTGATCCGCGTCAGCTCTGCTGCCAGCCGCCGCACCTCCTGCAGGGGGCGAGGGAAACTAGGGGAGCAAGGAGAACAATAGGATGCAAACAATGGGGACATCATCGTCCCAATGCATCCCCCATTCGACTCAATGCCCCGCTCATGGTCGCTCTATAATCGCTCACAACCCCTCATAATCCCTCAGAATTCCTCATAATCCCTCTAACTCCCGCCGAATCCCTCGAAATCCCTCGAAATCCGTCGCACCGCTTCGCGCCACGAGACTCACCCATTCGTCGTTCTCCTCCATCTGCTCCTCCGCGTACGCCTCCGCATCGAACCGATCCTGTGAGAAATTCATCGCGACAAATTGTTCTTCGCCACGAGCTTGCGAAACTCCCCGTCACGAAGTTCGAAACTTTCGCCACCCAATCAGAAGGTCGTGTCCACGTCTTGCTTTCGTCGGGGTGGATCGCCGATTTCCTCCACAGATTTCCCTCTTTCCGATTTCTCTCGTCTAACTTAAAACATAGCCGTCTTCTCCGCCTTCGATTCCGCTTGACCTCCCTCGTCAAGCGTCACTTCGTGTACGGGCCTTCCTCTCTCTTCGCGTCCTTCCTCTTTCCGACTTTCTTTCGCTCGAGTCCGCGTTCCTCCCGGCTTTTCGCCTGCGCTCTACCCGCGCAGACTCCCCACGAAGGGTACTCCAACTGTACGGAAAAATATGTCACTATCCGTGAGAACTGGGACTCTTCCGACCATAAGGGCGCATGGTAATATAGGTTATGGTAACATAGTTAACCTGTGCTACAGTAACATGCTAACGCACTCTAACGGTAAGCTATCGCGCAACCGAATTGACGCCCAAAAAGTGGCGCATCGCGAGGTTACGATTACATCCGTATATTATTGGATGAGCAGTACCCGCAACTTGAAAAGGCTGGGTCGTAACTAGCGTAAGGGCTATCACTGCGGTAATAAGTTATACGCGTCCAGTCAGATAGGCATTGCAGCACCTAATAGGTTACCTGGACGCATTTTATCTTCCCGCTGCTTCCTACGTTCTAGAACTGTCACTGGCAAACTACTGCGAGCAGGCACAGTAGTGCAGCTGCTCCCTTCCTTATCAGCGTTTTCCGATAAAACAACGGATACACGTAACTTTCTGCAAATCGGTTGGTGGACGTTTCAGCTGCTCTCTCTTCTCGACTATGCCTGTAAACACTAGTAGTAAGTTACTAGGATTACGAATGTGACAAGATCGTGCCCATGAAGTTGCGAATAAATGCTACATTTGTCGCATCCACTCGAGTCGTCGTGGTGGCATTCCGCTTCGCACTGGGAAGTTGGGAACTTGCTCAACGGAGCTTTGAACGAAGGAAAACAGTACAGTATAGTAAGGAGGGCGAGACTAGGTGTAAGGAAAATCCCTTTTCCTTACTTCGCATCCCTGCTCAACGCGTACATCACTGTAGCACCTCAGTCAGCACCGTTACCACTCGCGATCATCGCATCGACAATCATCCCGCCATTTTTCGCACATCGCATCCCGACCTCACGGCTCGGCTGGTAACCCGCGCTCCGGGCCTACGCCTCGACACTTTCCCAACCTCAGTCCCAGGCTTGTCGCGCGACTACCACAGACCATTACCGTTACCACTGTAGTTTCGCTATATATTCTTCGCTCACGCCCTCGCTCATTGTATTCTTGCTTCGATAGTGCAATTCTCGTTCGTTCACTCAATTGCACTCGTAACACTTGGTTATCAGAGCCTATGATCTCAGCTCGGACCGCATCCACACCTTCGCTTCCCCACTATCTCATTTTTTGGGGGGGGGGTAGACGTCTCTCAGCGATACAGCACCGCCGCTCGTAGTGCTCTCTCGCAAGCACGCACGGCCACGACCGAGGCTCTCGCTGAGCTTGCCCGACACCCCCGCCATGGCCGATTTCACGCTCGCCACATTAACGCAGGAGCAACTTGATCGTCTCGTGCGTCAACTGGAAGATTCAGCGCTCGAAATCGCGACGCTCACGGCGGAACGTGACTCCGCCCGTCAACAGTCCACGGTGAACGTTCCGACGACATCACACACACCAACAAATGTATCGGCACATTCGGATGAACCGATCGTCATCTCGTCCGGCACACCAACACAACACGGCAGCATGGGACAACGCTCAGGCACAACCAGTAATGGCGCCGCCCAGCCGATGCCTGGCATGGGAGGAAACAGGATCGCACCAAGCCCGCGGGAGCCCCGAGAAGCCCGTCGGCTCGTGGAATTTGCGGCGACAAGTGGCGAACAAGCCATCATGGCACCAATGCCGCTCAAGCCGCAACGCCCGCCCTGCTTCGACCCAAGCCAACGCGGCGGTCCGACGGTTCAATCGTGGGTCTTCACGATGAACGTCTTCTTCGACGCAAATTACGTCGAGTCGGACGCCGCGAAGATCCGGTATGCAGTTTCATTGCTAAGGGGCCCCGCCATGGACTGGTGGCGAGTCATCGTGACATCGCCACGCGCCTACGAGCCACCGTTGCACGAGGAAGGGCCCACGGGTCCAGCTGTCACCTGGAGTTCGTTCTGTGAGACCGCCCAATACAGCACGTGGGATGCGTGGTGCGCAGGGCTTCGGGCGCGTTTTGAGCCGATCGCGGCTTCAATTTCGGCGCGTCAGAGATTGCGCACTTGGCGCCAGCTCGGGTCAGTTCAAGATTATACAAGCGGTTTTCTCGCACTTTGCGAGCAGGTCGGCTACATGCACGAAGCGGAGCGGGTGGACCGTTATGTCGGAGGGCTGAAGCCGGATATCTCGCACGAAATAATGCTGCGCGGACTCTCTAATCTTAACGAGATTCTCGCGCTCGCCGAGAAGATCGACATTCTACGCCGACCGAGACCGGGGTCCTATTACGGACATCGCCCTCGAGGACCGACCGGGCACGCCACTGTACACGCCGTTGCAACAAATGCAGCTGCCGCACCGTTTAAAGGGCGCTGCTTTGCTTGCAACAGGCCGGGCCATCGCAAGAGCGAATGCCCAGAGGAGCTGAGGCGCCGAGGAGCAGAGCAGGGGAGGGAGTCTCAGAGGCAGGGAAACGCCAGCAGTCAGTAGAAGTTGGGCCAACTACTGACGAGACTGCCTGCTCGCCCAACCACACCGTGTCAGAACATATAGCTTACTTGTTTCTGTAGGCTATAGTGGGGTATCCCATAGGGGGTACAACCCAATTAGGGTTTCCTATTTGTACCCACTTCATTTCATAGTCATTCACTCCCGTTCATTCAGTTTCACATGGTATAGAGCGGGTCCCTTCTAAGGACCGTTTTTTTTTGGGCCCACCCACGATCTTTTTTTTCCTGCCCGGAGCGCGCCCTATTCTCCTCGAGGCGCGCTCCCCCTAGTGCGCGTCGAGCTGCCCTTGTGGCGCCCCGAGAGTCGCGCGCGCGACTCATTTTTTTTTTTCGCGCGCGCGGCCCGGGCCCCACTTCGCGCGGCCCTTACAGCCGCGCCGCGCCGCCCTCTCGGCTCTGCCGCGCCGCGCCGCCCTCAAGACGGCCGCGCGGCCTCTTCGTCGCTGCGGCAGGCCCCCCCCGCTGCACCTCTGTCGGCCCCGCCGCCGCCTTACCTGACGGCCGCCGCCTCACCTGACGGCCCGCCGCCTCGCCCTCTGGCCCGCCACCTCACCAGACGGCCCTGCCGCCTCACCTGACGGCCCACCGTCTCACCTGCTGGCCCGCCACCTTACCTGACGGCCCCGCCGCCTCACCTGACGGCCCGCCGCCACCTTACCTGACGGCCCCGCCGCCTCACCTGACGGCCCGCCGCCTCACCTACTGGCCCGCCACCTGACCTGACGGCCCCGCCGCCTCACCTGACGGCCCGTCGCCTGACCTGCTGGCCCGCCACCTCACTGACGGCCCGCCGCCTCCCCCGCTGGCCCGCCACCTGATCTGACGGCCCCGCCGCCTCACCTGACGGCTCGCCGCCTCACCTGCTGGCCCGCCACCTGACCTGACGGCCCCGCCGCCTCACCTACCGGCTCGCCACCTCACCTGCTGGCCCGCTGCACCCTGACGGCCCCACCGTCCCCTGTCCCGGCCCCGCCGCTGCACCCTGACGGCCCCGCCGTCCCCTGTCCCGGCCCCGCCGCTGCACCCTGACGGCCCCGCCGTCCCTTGTCCCGGCCCCGCCACTACACTGCAGCCGAGCCGCCCAGCAGCAGCCGGACCGCCCAGCAGCAGCCGAGCCGCTCAGCAGCAGCCGAGCCGCCCAGCAGCAGCCGAGCCGCCCAGCAGCAGCCGAGCCGCCCAGCAGCAGCCGGCAGCCCGGTACCCGAGCCGCCCGAGCCGCCCGAGCCGCCCAAGCCGCCCGAGCCGCCCGAGCCGCCCGAGCCGCCCGAGCCGCCCGAGCCGCCCCACCAGCCCGAGCCGCCTGCTGCTGTCCTACCCGACTCTCCTAGCCCGGTGAGACTTTCAGCTGCTGCCATGGCCACCCCCAATGTTCTTACTTTTGACGCTGAGGGGAGGGCCATTGACTTTGCCGTCTGGATTGAAGACCTGCAGCTGTACTTACTGTGTGATGCGATAGATGAGGTCTCTCTCTTTGACTTTGTCTCTGGCGCTGTCCCTGCCCCGCCTGCTGATGCTGACTCTGCTGCTCGCTCCAAGTGGGCGACCCGCGATGCTGCTGCACGTCTTGCTGTGCGTCGCCACCTCCCTTCCTCTGAGCGTGCCCACTTTAGTCAGTGCAAGACCGCTCAGGCCTTGTACGACGCTGTAGTTGCACGCTACTCCTCCCCTTCCTCCGCTACCCTTAGCCGCCTCATGCTACCGTTTCTCTTCCCTGACCTCGCTTCCTTTCCCACTGTTGCTGACCTAGTTACCCACCTCCGCGCTAGTGACACCCGCTACCGTGCTGCCCTTCCTGCTGAGTTCCGCGCTGCGAACCCTCCTCCCATGTACATCACTCTCTACTTTCTCGTCACCCGTCTCCCTGAGTCCCTTCGTGTCGTTAGGGACCAGTTTCTCTCTGTCTGTCCCACCACTCTCACTGTCGACCTCCTTGAGGAGTCCCTACTAGCGGCTGAGAAGAGTATTGTCGCTGTAGGGGCCTCTCGGGGTGACCCTCGCACCCCCATCTTTGAGGGGTGTGGTTCTTCCCCCCTGCTGCCCTCTGTCGCCTCTGCCGCTGCGGCCGACCTCGCTGGTTTTGAGTCGGTCGGCGCGGCGTCTGCCCCCAGCGGCAGACGCCGCTCTGGCAAGGGCAAGGGGGGCAAGGGGGCAGGTGGAGCTAGAGGGGGCGGTGGAGGAGGGGGTGGGGGTGGAGGGGGGAGTGGGGGTGGCGGTGGGGGT